CATACAAATATAATATTTGCATTAATGTTTGGTTTGTAATTATAGGATATGGTGGATCCTTGGCACCCATAACATACATAAATGTAACATCACAAAAGTTAAAGAACCATGCCCTATTCACATTTGGGTGGGAAAGGGTCGTCTTAATGAATACATTTAAAATCCGTGACTAACTAGTCATGTACAGAACATTTCTTCTCTTTTCATTTCAGCAAAGGAAAGTCAGAAATGCAAAAACACATTTACAAGTGGTGGCAAAACTACAAACATCACTTTTTCGATGGGTCCTCAGAACGTTGTCCGATCTCGCAGTGACGCTTCAACATTGTTTGATCTCGCAGTGACGCTTCAACGTTGTTTGATCTCGCAGTGACGCTTCAACGAAGTCCGATCTCCTTTTGACGTTCTCTGCAGCGCCATCTTTTTTTCAATTGCGAGTTGAATAATATTGGCAGTAGAGAAAAAGTAAAAACATCAATGTTGTCCTTAATCTTTTAAGAACACATCGCAATTTTACACTTACTCCCTTTACTTCTTGATAAGAAAACAAGGTTACAGTTAGCCGAGAGCCCCACGGCCACAGCGAGCCCCACGGCGGCCCTGGCGGCCCCGAACAAGGCGCTCTCTGCCAGGCCTGACGATCTGAAAAAAAAATGAACGTCCCGGTTATATTTGACAATACAGCGACAGGATGATTTTCTAGGTCATACTGACATTTCCCAAACTAGAGATTGATTTTCGTCTAATAAATCCCTAAAAAGGTAAACTAAATATTAGATAATTTCCTTGTAGGAAATTCTTTACAAATGCTGTCAAAAATCTAAAAGCTTCCTAGACTACGAAGCAAATCTTTTGCAAGCCCTTTGAAGAGACAAACTGGATTAAAATACTTGGAAGTTAAAACTGAAAAAAAGTGTGTAGACTGTATTATTTTCTTAAGATAGGATTAAAATTTGAAGCCCAAGACATTCATACTGTATGGATCGAGATTCAAATTTTTTAAGTGAGAACCCTCTCCGTAATTAAAGAAATCAACTAAAATAATCACAGCTTTTCCAAATTACTAACAAAATTGCACTTGCATCCCTTTTAAATCAGACTAACAAATATGTAATGTATGGTAATTTAGAACAAAATAATAACTTACATTATGATTTTCTTCCATCAAATCCTCAAATAAATCTGCAGCATCTATGTTTTGACTGAAAGCATTCTACACAAAAGAAATAAATGTGCAGTTGCAAGCAGACAGATGCATTTTAGAATAAGGATACCATAGAATGGAATAACTTACACATGACTGTAGTTCTTCGAACTCAGAGTTCTCAGAGTTCAGATTTGAAGCAGGCAAATTTCCCTGAAAGGCAGACAAAATTATCTATTGATTTGAGGGATAGGCCAGTACCTCTTTGTGAAGATGCCAAAAAAGTAGTGGGAGGAGCTTGGCAGGTCTGGACCCTCTTAAGATTGTTCCCCCTAATTATTGGAGATAAAATAAAAGATGTTGAAAATTCTGCTTGGTTGGCCATCCTCAAGATGATTGAGATTATGGAAATGGTCACAGCACCTGCTATTCATCATTTATTTATTGCACATTTACAGTTGACTATTGGAGAGTATCTAACTTTAAGAGTGAAGGCATTACCCCATGTAAAGCTTCGACCAAAACATCACTACTTGACGCACTTCCCAAAACTCCTAAAGGAGCTTGGGAATCTAATGAA